CATAGAGGCTAAGCAGGAAAGATAAGGGTGAGGAGGAGAGGAGAAAAGTGCGACCGCCTTCGCTGAGAGCTGAAGAAGAAGAGAATTAAGAAGTAATTTTTTGATATCTTTGAGGTTGGAGACAATGCAGAGAAGCCTTCGGTGGGCAAGAGGAAGACTGATCAATGTAACTGCAGCAGATCAACTTCTGCGTGACTTGGCTGAATTGATTCAGGAGGTCGAACTGTTTACTCAGCCTGGCCAACATGGTAAGCACATATTGTGTCGATTCCTTGACTCATCAAAAGTGTGAAATAAATTATGACTCTGTCTTAACCTATTTTCCAAATACACCAAACGCTGATATATTTTCAGGCTGTTTTGGGTACCAGGCACCAGTGGTTTTCCACAGAGAGGTAGATCCCTTTACCTTATCACTCGGGAACAGCTTTCATTCCTGAAGTCATGTGGATTCACTGCACCTCAGAAGGCTGATATTTTGAACGTTTCACTTCGTACAATTCGAAGACGTCTGCGGTCAGTGACTTTTGAAACCAGTGTGACTTTCAGTTCTTTGTGACACACACTCACTGTTTATTCAAATGAAATGGTATTGTGAGATTGTAAAAATGAGTATATTTGAATGTGCACCACTAGTCAAGTAATGAAGTGTGTTGTTATGGCAGTGATAAAATACTCATGTTTTTTTGTCTGATTTCAGACAGTATCATTTCACCTGCATCAATGTATGCGGAACTGACTGACAGTGCGCTGGATGAACATGTGCAGGACATTGTCGCTGGCAATGAACAAATTGGTCCTGAGGCTGTCAGAGCCTCCCTGCGAGTACGTGGACTACGTGTACAGCGAAGGAGGGTTCGAGCAAGCATGCTACGGATAAATCCTGGAGCAGCTGCCCTTAGAGCATTCTTGCGGAGACCAGAACGGAGAACATATCAGGTTGCAGGTCCAAACTCATTGTGGCACATTGATAGAAATCAAAAGCTGATAAGGTAACCAACCACACGGATTTGTTGAACACCTATTTTGACCAAAGTGAAATTCAGCATTACATCAAATATAATTGTTGAACAGTAAGACACGTCCAATAGAACCAGGCCCTGGGATGGGCAGCCCTCTAACACAACTGGTTATGTTTAAAGGGGAAGATCAGAGAACATAGAGCGCGCAAGCAACATACAGAGGAAAATTCAAACTTGCCATGTAAATCAATTAAGAGTGTGTTTTCCATTGTTTCATTAACAAAGCAGAAATATTTTTCTTCTTATGGACCACGGTTTTAGGTGGAGGATAGTCATTCATGGGGCTATTGATGGATACAGTCATCTTGTGGTCTTCCTTCATGCCTCAAACAACAACCGTAGCAGTACCGTTTTGTCAAGTTTCATCAGAGCCGTGGTATCCTATGGTGTACCCTCGAGGGTCCGGACAGACAGAGGAGGGGAAAACAATGCTGTCTGCCTGATGATGAACATTTTCAGAGGCTTTGATCGTGGAAGTGCCCTAAGAGGAAGGAGTACCCATAATCAGAGAATTGAGAGGCTCTGGGGTGATCTGTGGCGAGGAATGACCAATGTGTACTGTGATTTATTTCACCACCTGGAGGAGGAAGGCATCATTGACATTGACAATGAAATGCACATTTGGGCTCTCCATTACATCTATCTCCCAAGGATCAACAGAGATTTGAAAGACTTCACTCAACAGTGGAACAATCATGGCTTGAGGACAGAGAGACACTTGAGCCCATTACAGATTTTTGTCCGAGGCAGCCTCCAGCAACAGGGCCGAGCCTCAACTGCCATGCAGGACATCTTTCAGACCAGAGCAGCTGCTGTTGATGGGACTGTTGGTGGGACAGCTGATGGTAGTGTGACAGCCACTGGGAGTGAGATCACTGCTGCTCAGGGCTTAAGTACTGATTCTGGTGGTGCTCATGGTACAGATGAGCTGGGATTGCTGGTCGACTGGCCTGAGATGATTACTGTGCCAGACATTGAATTTACTCTGGACGGACCGATGATGGAGCAAGTGGTAGAACTATTTAATCCACTAAGTGGCACCAGAGAGAGTCATGGTATTGAACTCATCACTGGCTTAATATACTTTCTGGACTCCACATATCACTGAGACAGTTCAATTAATGACTGAAACATAATAGCAGCAAGTGGAAAGACTTCAAAATATCTAGGTGACTGGATACATATAATGTGAAAAGTTATAATACGTGTCTACTATGTACCATTGAGTAGTGGAGATACAAGAACGAGCTGTGTGACACTGACAATAAAAAATGTTGAGTGATTTTTAAAGTATATAAGATGGAAGCTGTGAAGTGGAAAGTATACAACTGAAGCTGAATCTCGATAAAGTGAACTTGATTAATCTAAAAGTTACAGCTGTTGATATTGATAAATACAACTATAAAGCAGTGACAGTAAATAATTAACAAATAAAAAACTGTATAGAAGGTCTTGAAGTGGCTCAGTATAGTGCAGTACAGTGGTCCCCAACCCCCGGGCCTCGGACCGGCACCGGTCCGTGAGTCGTTTGGTACCGGGCCGCGAGAGTTGAGGCCCAGGTGTGAAATGTCCGGTTTTCAGGGTTTTTATCGGTTTTCAGCGTTATTTTATTATCCTTTTTTATCTTTAACTCGGTTTTCCTGGGTCTTTTCACGTGCGTCATGAATAAATTTTCTTTTTTTCGGTACCGGTACTGGTTTTATTTTGTTGTATTTATCTGCAACACCTTAAAGGCCGGTCCATGAAAATATTGTCGGGCATAAACCGGTCCGTGGCACAAAAAAGGTTGGAGACCGCTGCTGTAGTAGTTAAATATAAAGTGGTTTAGCGTGTGTTTGATGTTGTGACAGTTCACAGCGAGCAGATTATGCTTTGTACAAACATAGTTCTGAAAATACTGGACTCCAGTGTAAAATGTGAATTCTAAAAGAGCAAACAGTGATTTGCAAATGTCAAAGGCAAAGTTTATTCACAGCAGAACATAGAAAACATGTCAAATGTTTACACCGAGACTACGTCGTTAAAAATAAGTCCATTTTAATTTGATGGCAGCAATATGTTTCAAAACAGTTGGGATGGGGCAAGAGAAGGCTGGAAAAAGTGGTACTAAAAAGAAACAGCTGCAGGGATATTTTAAAAGTAACAGGTCAGTTACGTGATTTTAAAAGAGCATCTTAGAGAAGCAGAGTTGCTCTGGAGTAAATGTGGGCAGAGGTTGATCAATCTGCAAAAAAACTCCATTAACAAATTGTGCAACAATTTCAGAATAATGTTCCCAAGTGTAAAGTTGTAAAAACTTAAAATATTCCATCCTCTAGAGGCATAAAAGTATATTTTATCAAAAGATTCAGTGACTGGAGAAATCTCTTTGCAGAAACAATGAGGCTAAAAGCCACGATGTCAGTGATCTTCAAACGGTCATAGGAAAGTTAGCATCATGGAGCATTAAACAGACACGATTCTGTCATGGAAACCAGTGCATTTCCTGTATCCTTTGGGGCAACAGACCTGAGTCACACTTTTAGAGAAGTACCTGGTGAGGTGGATTGAGATGAATGTATGTTTGGGGAGTGTGATTGTGTGTACAGTGTCTATTTGTGCCTGTCTCCACATCGGGTGAGTACCGAGTATTTGTTTATGTCTATATGGAGGTGGGAATGCATGTTTGCGTCTGTGTGTGCCTGTTCGTCTGTGTCTATATGTCGGGTCTTAGACTCCTCCTCTCTGGGAAGGTCTCAGGCTCTCCGAGGTATGGAGGCCTATCTCCCTCACCACACTTCCTCCCGGTGGCTGATGCCCTCAGACTTGGTGTGTTGGTGGTTCTTGGTGTCTGGGGCTGGGCACCATGTATGTACTGACTCACTCCTGGTGGCCGATTGGCGGGGTCTGTTGCCTGTGGCTCGGCTGGGCCCCTTCCGGGGTGTGGGGGGCCCTCTGTGCCTGAAGCTCGGTTCACTCTGGCACAGCTGGCTGCCCGCAGAGCCCACGGCACGTCACTGCAACCCCCTCTGGCCTCTGCTCCGTGGCTGCTGGGTGACCCCTCGTTTGGGGCTCTCCTCAGCTCCTCCCAGGAGGGTGGCACAGATGCCCCTCTGATGGTCCTCCTTGGGTCCTTGTACTCTGGGGCCTCTGGATGTCTGGGGCCTGGATCTCCTCCATACCATACGAGTTACACTGATCTCCACTAAATCCATCTTCTGGTAGCATCTTCATAACACTGTTATTAAGCGAGATGAACTCTTCACCCAGCTTGCAGAAACTTTGCAGTGTTTCTGACCCTAGTTTATCAGCATGCTCTTCACTATTTGTCATGTTGTCTTTGGCTCCCTCTTTTGGTCAACCACATGTGGTGTGCCATATGCTGCATCTTTAAACTCAGCAATTATTCCAAATTAACTTTAAAGCACTCACGAGAAGCTTCTGTAACTCAGTAAACTTGAATAAATCTTCTTCAGTAGCTTTCCTCAGCATCTTCTCAAATGATCAAGTAAATGATTGAACTTCAAAGTGCCACAGGGAAGCAGTACGAACAGGAGTGTGCTCCTTATAGCTCCGTTAGCATAGCTAGCTTCATTATTAGAATGTTTGCATGATGGTTTATAATTTCTCATCATCAAGCACCTTCATCTGATTCTTGGAAAAGTATGGGACACGTGCAAAACCGTGAATTTTCACAAGAAAATCTTTACCTAGAAAAATGCAAATACAAATCTTATTTTTTCAACTTCTTCATCTTCTTTCCACCAAACACAGCTAGCGCATTCAAAAACTTTACTGGTCCGTGCTCTTGTGATCATTCTATCTTTTCAGTGTTTCTTCTAATAAGAAAATGAGATATTATGTAGGTCTGTAAGGATGACGCGAGAGCTCGTCACATTTTACTCCAACTTTAATCTCAGTTTAGATTAGGTCCACCACAATATTATGATAAGAATCCTGCTTGAGAGGAAGTAAAGCTTTCAAAACAAAACTCTAAATTTCACAGTAATGCTAACTTAAACTGACGTCAACCTCACCTACTGATCATGAAAGAGAATTAAAGACAATCTACATCAGAAAATATTCAGAATCACCAAAGTAAGAAAAGGTGAATCATATTCTGGCTCAATATGAACGGATTTTTACATTTGAGCAAAAACAGAAAGAAGGCGCCTTCATTCTGGACCCACATCGTGGGTAAACCACATGACCTCCAAACAGGCCAAAATGTCACCGCCTGTGTTCATGTGGAAAAAAACGCTGTGTGCACACGTGAGGGCGAAACCATGAAGATCCAAAACAGGAACCAAAGCGATCCTGCTCCACTTCAGACACCTGTACCTGCTGAGCGGTTGCCAGGTTCGTGACCCTGACCAAGCCCGACTGTGACCACGATCGCATCAGGGTTGTTCCAGGCTCAGTGATGACTGCGTGTGACACAATCGGCCTGCAATGGCTCCTCCTTTCGCCCTCAGGGTGTAACGCTCCATTCTGCTTCTCTCTCGCCCTCCATTAAGATTATAGTTAATGCAAAACATGTCTGAACTAGCCATTTTCTGCTCTTGGAAAGCTAACCAGCTCCTCAGATGCCAGGACCGCCCCACTGGACCTCCACTGGTGTTGAAATGTAATGAGTGTCACACACGCTACACTTACGTTGAGTCAAAAGTAGAACATGTGCAGCTTAGAAAGCTTATGTTGATTTAAGTGTGTCAGAGCTGATGACTGCCACAGAGGTTTCTGAGGTTGTGGCATTTAAATAATCTACGTG